TCTGCTATGGTATGCTTAGACTCAGTAACATATGTGTCATTTGAGCATCATGTTATCTATTTCAATGTCAATGCCCCCAGACATATCTGAATCTGAATATACTGTGGTGAAGACCTCAATGAGTAAGAGGCCTTCAACAGAAAGAGTAGGGACTGATTCACTCCCAGTTTTGTAAACATTATGTAGAACATATGTAACAGGCTACAAACTAAAGCTAACTATATAAAAAAAAGTAAAAAAATATGTGCCCCCTATGTAATCACTGTCCTTCAAATAGTAGTATAAGGATGTAACTTGTATGCTATGCATATATATATATTAACATGTTATTATAATCAAGTCTGCCAAGTCTGCAACCAAAGCAGTAACATGCCTGTGCTGAAGCTGGAACCAGTTCACCAGCTAGCTAGTATTGTAATGCAATTATATATAGATCCTAGAAGGTGCTGTTGTCAATTACTCTAGTTTTGCTTTAAGCAACGTTTGAACATTTTGCTTACCTTCTAGACTAAAGATTCCTAATGTTGCACATATCATATCATAGGGAACACAGCCCCACACAGCACCTCTTACTCCTCCCCTGACAGTGCACAACAGACAAACCCTAGGAAAGACTGCTTGATCAGGTGTATGGTAAATTAAGTCTATCATCCCTTCTGAGACCCAAGATGGTCCATGCAGAGGATTGCTGATCTATAATTTGGCAGCAGATAACAAGTACCTTACTGAAAATGAATTTGAAAATACAACATGAATTAAGCACAATTTATTATCATCAGAAAAGTATAGATTTACAATCATGAATAGCAACACTGAATAATATTGTTACCAATTTACATGTTTCTAGACTGGTATGCAAGATAAATCATATGAAATACAAAAATATTATGATACCCATAAAACAATTCTCATAAAACCTAGGTGATGTTAATGCAATAAGGATAACGTATACAAGCAATTTTAGTATTTTCCTTGTTCACTCTTCTTTCCATGCTTAGGTTAAGAAGTCATTAGAATTCCATGGTTACCAGAAAAATAAAATATCACCAAAGCTTTGTATTCATCAGTATTAAAGCTCAAAAAACTTAAAAATGCATTTTCCCCCCTGCCAGTGTCTAGTGTCATATAGCCAATGTTGTATTCCAAATGCTTAAAGTATATATTTGAAAATGGAACAAAAAAAATATTCATATAAATGTGACCAACCATTTGTTTTCAAACTTTTTACAATAAGGAATGAAAATGAAAAAGGAGAGGAAAAAAGACAAGGAAACCAAGAATAAGAATATAACCAAGTAAAAGAAAGAAAGAAGAAGAAAAAAGTAGATTCTATAATCTGCTTTCTTACCAATACTATTCTCATTATCATAGGTATCTTATTATGGCTGTCTGTAGATATGCCTGTATATTGTATTCATTAATTCTGAAAATATGCTTAGAATTCTTTAATTTTCACTGGATATAAAACACATATAACCAGAAATGTGAAGCTTCAGTCACTTCAGCCTACCCAATAACTGCCTGAAGTTACACTGATCCATGCATTATCTGATTCATGGTAGTACTTATAAACATCTGAATAATATAAACAGGACTATATCAATGAAACATATATGAATTCTCTAATGATTTGGCACTGACACCATTCTTAATATACCTTAGAAATCACAGTAATAAAATAGGTATCCATGTCCTTTCCTGTGATTAAACATATCAAATAGACATGTACTTTAATAGCATCAATTATTAATGTTGCCGTAATTCATGCCCGTTTAATGTAGCAAGTTGTAAGTTATACTTTTTCCAATAAATAGAAAAAGAAAATGAATCTTCTACATATTTATATTTATCACTGTATTATTTGCATTGAAAGATTCTCTGTGGATACTTCACCCTTGAATTTACTGAAGTCTAGTTTCTTAGAAACCTAAAACAGGCTTCCATCATTTTATTTAACTGCCAATAAATAAAAATAACCCCACCCTCCCCTCAAGAGCAAAACGCAGAGAAAAAAGTAAATGAATGCATACACAAGCTCACGTGCACACACAAAAGCAGGTCTAATAATTAGGACAAACTGCATTTCCACAGGTATATTTGGTAATAACCTGGTAGTATGTAATATGCTTGCTACTTTTTTATTATCTTAATGGTGCAGTATACAGCTTTTAAAATCCAAAGCAAGTGTTGTATCCAACATTTCAATTCATTGCACAGATGGCACTATCAGTTACAAGGCATATATAATCATTGTGCAGATAAACACGTTGGGTATATAAAACTTATCCACTAAAGTTCTTAGTGAGAGAATAAAATTGGCAAGATAAAAGGCAAACACACTGCAATATCTGATTAAATAAAATTTTCAAAATGAGCAGCCATGTAAGGAATACACCCAAAGGCACAATACTTTTACAGTGCATGACTAAATACATTTACATCAGCACCTTTAAACTCTGAATCATCACCTAACAAACTGATATGTGCTGACATTAACAGTACACATATCTATACCATATGTTAATAAAAATAATTATACAAATAGTCTCAAACATGTACATACATGTGCTGAAAAACTCGTACATGACATAAATTACCAGAGATTTTACTGCAATAGTAAACAGAGAACACTCAATCAGCTACTATACTGATAATTAGGTTACTCTTCGGACAAGTCAAAGCTGGCTTTATCCAACAGACCATCAATTATGTAATATGGAACAAACACCATTTTGTTCCATAGAATTACCCAAGTTTCATATTACATTTGATTACAATAACCATTACAAATTTTAAATTAGGTAGACTGATCTGCTGATAACCACTCAGTGACAGGTAAGGCTTTAGCCGTCATGACGTAGTGCGCAGTGAGCAGGTGGGTTGGCTGTACATAACACAAACCCTGCCAGAAAGACTAAACTGTTGTGTAATAATTATGTCATTAAAATTTCTGGCCCTGTCATGATGGGGTTAATAAAGATCATTTACAACAGGTAATCATAAAAATAAGCAATTGGGAAAATTCTGAGCCTCTACACTGGCACAATATTAACAACCAAAGAGTTTAAGAGCAGCAGACAAAAGGGTTTTGAAGAAGACTGACATCAATTTGGATAAAACCATATCAGTGCCTTTTCAAAAGGTATGTTAGAATTCCAGTCTCATAAGATAAAAAGGAAAACTAGTATAAGAAAAGGGAGGAAGGAAAGAGGAAAAAAATCTACAATGCCTTAGTAATCCACCAATAACATCAAGTGTTGCTATGATTCATAACCCAGTGGCACTTATAACTCCATAATGAAAATATACAAATGACTTTAAAGAGCAGATGAAGAAAAATATATATACAAATAAGAAAATCATATCTTTTATTCTTTGCCTTTTTCTATTGTCTTCTGCTCCAAGAGCATTACTGAATCATAAAAAAATATATTACAACAATTAACTTCCAACCACAATGACATACTATTATAATTACATTAACCTACATATACATGTTCGATAAGTGTAAAACCAGCGTTATTCAGGACTTCTTAAATAAAGTTACTTGAGGATGCTTTAAAAAAAATGATTATTAAAATCATCCATATGGCATAATGGGGTATAACAGGACAGGCTTTTAGAAAAGGCTAAAGGCCATAGCATTTAGTAAATATTGATATTATTATCAACAGCTATGAAAATATTTTTGCCTCTCAAGTAAATGTAAATTATAAATGCAGATATTTGAGTTCATGAGTACATGTTGCAATATTTAGGATACTGGGAGCCACCAAATAACTGAATTTTACTTTATCTACTTATAGACATAAATATACATACAATCTGGATATTTGCATTTGCTTTGGCACTGCTATGAAAACAGTTGCATCTTTTCAGGGTATCAGTCCCTGTATTGCATATCTCTATAGCACGAAATACCATGCATACATAACTAAATATAACCATATAGGATACACATCTCAATAAGTATAAAAATACATCCTTACCAAGAATATTTACAATGTTGTAAACCTAAAAATCAGTAGATGATTCTATGTGTTCAATGATTTTTACTTTTCTCTCCATTTCCATCATCTAGGTGTAATTCCTTATCTACCTTTACAAAGAAAATATCTAAACACATTTCAATAATAATGAGGCATTGGAACCTTTCATAACTAGTTACTAGAATCCATTACTTGAAATAAAGCAGCTGAAATTTTGATATCAGTTCTTTTCAAATAACCAAAATAAATATCATATGCACACATATTGACATTAATTTATGTGTACAAATACACACAAACATCACCAAAAAACAATATGCATTTTATGCTGAATGACACCAAATGTTAAAGATCTGACTTCTATCACACTGATGAAAGCATTAAGATTGCCGTCTTGGAGATCAGGAAATTATGAAAGGGAATTAATGACTTAAAGTTGCTATAGTTTCAAGTGATATATTCTGCAAGGATTTTTAATCTAAATATTGATACTTGTAGAAAAGACAATAGCTGAGTAAAGATCTAAAAATTAAATATGATGCTTCCATGTAAGTTGTGCTAACAAAGAGAGCCTATGACATGCACTATTAGTGTAGCAAGCTAGTATTGATGGGTAAAAGATCCAACAGCTGATTTTACTATTGTTTATATAATCTGCTATTCTTGCATTTTCTTCTTGTTAAGGAAGCTCTGAAGTTGATCTAAATGTAATTTAATCTTCAGATATTTCTAAAAGTTAAAAACTTGACTACCTATATGTTTGCATATATCTGTGTGTACATGTGGGCGTGTGCGTGTGTGTGTACGTGTATGTGTGTGTGTGCATATCTAAATATATATGCAAGCACATAATGACTGTGTATATATAGTTCCCTCTTTTTTTCTAATGAAACATAATCATACCTTGCCTAAAGAAATATGTCCTTTTGTCTCAATAATATGAACAATAAAAGATGTATGGTTGGAGAAGAAACAACCTATATAAAATCAAGCAGTGCGTAGTTAGAATGT